CACCCCACACACCGCTGCCTGCATCATGGCATCCAGCCCTCCCTCGGGGGCATCCAGGTTCCCCGAGATAAACTGCTTCCCCACTTCGCTCTCGAACTTGGCAGCGTCGTCGGTCAGCGAGAGGATGTGTTTGAAGGCGAAGGGAGGCTGGCATTGCTTGTCCTTGTTGGGACAGGGGTTCTGCAGCTTCTCGGGGTGCGTGTTCACAAAGGGCAGCACCGTCTTGTCCACGAAGGAGCCAAACCCTAGGGCAGCCAGGACCACATCGTCAGGGCCATGGGCAGGCAGGGACCAGCAAGCATCCCTGCAGCACAGGGCATGGACAATCTGCTGGTCCCGTGTACGTGTCCATGTCCCTTGCCCCAGCACGTTCTCCAGCCTGGGTCACACCTATATCCTGCTCCAGCCCTGAGGCTCTTCCCAGCAGCAAAGGGCTGTGCCAGGGTCCCATGCCAGAGACAGGCTCACCTATGCGGCGAAAAGGCGTGGTGCTCTCCAGCGCCCTGAGCAGCTCCCCTCCCAGCTTCTTCACCTTCTCCAGGTCATCCAGCATGGAGTAGGAGAGGTCCATGAGGTAGTAGAGATCAATGGGGTATCCCGTAGCACGGCGAAACTTCACCTCAAATACAGCGGGCTGGCCTGCGGGATGGATACAGCGGGATCAGCCGCTGTGCTGTGTCTTACAGCTGCCCCATCGCCCACTCCCCACCAGGAGCCTCCTCTCTTTCAGAAGAAAAAGGGAGGACATGCACGCTGGAATGTGCCACCAGAACAAGCAAAAGGGCATTTGGAACACCAGGCAGACCATACCTATCCTCAGCCTCAGGTGCACCTCCTGGGGAGTCAGCTGTATGTCATTGCTTAAGGGACTGTCCTGTGTCTTCACAATGTCGTTGACAGGAAACTCAATCTGGTCGCGCGAGCAGCCCCTCTGCAGCAGCTGCTCGATGGTGTAGCAGCGGATGGAGTCTGGCTCACCAGCTTTGGTGAAACTCTGTGTGTTGCAACATCAACAGGAAAAAATCAGAGGAGCAGGAGGTGAACGGGCTCGTTACAAGATGACACAGTTCCCAAACTAGGTCTTCAGGGTATTGATGGAGAAAGGAATCACAGAACCATTGAATAGTTTGGTTGGAAAAGACCCTTGAGAACATCAAGTCCAACCACACCTGTCCACTACTAAACCAGATCTCTGAGCACTTTACCTACAGGTCTTTGAAATCCCTCCAGGGATGGGGACTCCACCACTGCCCTGGGCAACCCCTTCCAATGCCTCAGAACCCTTGCAGCAAAGAAATTCTTCCTCACATCCCATCTCAACTGCCCTGGCCACAACTGGAGCCTATTTCCTCTTGTCCTGTCCCTTGCTCCTTGGTTGAACAGACCCACCCCCACCTCTCTCCACCCTCCTCCAAGGGACTTGGACAGAGCCAGAAGGTCTCCCCTCAGCCTCCTTTTCTCCAGGTTCAGCAACCCCAGTTCCCTCAGCTGCTGAGGGAGGAAGGTTGAAGGGTCCTGTCTGTCAGATCCCTCCTGACCCATCCACGATGTAGGACATGACACAGTCACTGCAGGCAGAGCGGGGCAGGCAGGGTGACCATCCCACTGCCTGTTGGTTGCCTGCTGGGGTCTGACAGCGTGAGAGGCGACATGGACCTACCGGCGTCTTGCACCAGGCGCAGCCGGGACCGGAGCGGATGCAGTCGTTGCATGTCCCCACCTTGATCTTGGGGCACTCCATGGCAAAGGCTGAAACAGAGAGAAGACAGAGCTGGCATGGAGGGGACTCGGGGGAGGCTGGTCTGCAGCGGCTGTGACAACCAGCACCGGGCACCCACGCTGTCCTGAGCCCACCCTGCCTATAAAACCCACGCTGGGTGCCCTGGCAGGGTCCTCACCTGCCTCGCTGTCCCTCAGCTGGGCTGACTCGAGTTAACTCCAGATCCTGGGAAATCTGGAGGATCTGGCCCTTGCACGATTCTCAGTGCCATGTTCTGGCCACAGCTGGGCAGCATTTGGGTGTCCCCCCCCCTATTTCAATGCCCATGCAAGGTGTTGGGGGGGACAGTGAGGAAGGGCAGGTGGGGCTCACCTGTCGGCACCAGCAGCAGCACCCAGATCACCGCCGGCAGCCGGAGGCAGCAGTCACGAGACATCTTCTGCAAGAGAAAAAGCATCCCTGTGAGCAGCTGCAGGGAAGGGAGCCCTCCAGCCCTAGAGAAAGTGTCTGCAGAGGATGGTGACCCCAGGGGAACATGCGGGCAGAGCCTGAGAACATCACCCTGGGCCGGGGCAGCCCCTGTGGGTGTGTGGGTTGGCTCAGGACAGATACAGGTGTACTTCTACAAAAATAAGTTGGTTTCCAACGAACACGGCTTTGGGACAGAGTGTGGAAGTCAGCAGAGTGAGAATTTGCAGCGTTCAGCTGAACTGCAGTGAGGTTTGAGGGTGTTCATCCCGACTCTTCGACCTGTACGATTGTTATCTGTGTGACACTGGAAAATCTCAAGCACTGAATTTATTTTTTTCTAGATGGGAGTTTTCTCACACAATCATAGAATTATTATGGTTGGAAAAGGCCTCTAAGTTCATCCAGTCCAACCGCCAACTCATCACCACCATGCCCACTAAACCATATCCCTGAGTGCACAATCTACATGTTTCTTGAACAGCTCCCGGGATGGGGACTCGATCCCCACTGCCCTGGGCAACCCCTTCCAATGCCTCAGAACCCTTGCAGCAAAGAAATTCTTCCTCACATCCCATCTCAACTGCCCTGGCCACAACTGGAGCCCATTTCCTCTTGTCCTGTCCCTTGGGCCTTGGTTGAACAGACCCACCCCCACCTCTCTCCACCCTCCTCCAAGGGACTTGCACAGAGCCACAAGGTCTCCCCTCAGCCTCCTTTTCTCCAGGCTCAACACCCCCAGTTCCCTCAGCCACAAGGGAACTCAGCACACTTGTGCTCCAGACCCTTCCCCAGCTCCGTTCCCTTCTCTGGACACGCTCCAGCACCTCCATGTCCTTCTTGGACTCAGGGGCCCAACACTGAACCCAGCACTCAAGGTGCAGCCTGTGTCAAGCTATGGAAATTGGAATAAAAATTAACAAAAGGACCATTTCTGTTAATTAACTGTCAAGGTGTGCCAGATACATGGGAAAAGGAGTCTGTTTCTACTTGCTTCACATTGAACTGATTCCCAAGTCTTTCATGTAGTGAATTAATTAAATTTTCCTGC